AGAAGAAGACTGATTATACAGATAAAACATAAGATGAAGTAGGGAAATGGGAAGTAGAGATAGGATGAAAAAATAGAGTAAGAGATTAAATAGAGTAAACAAGGAAGGATGGAGAGGAATGACAGCTCAATATAAGAGGAAACTAGTGTTAACCTCATAATTCTAGGGGAAGATAGAGAATATGAATTACTATGAAAGAAGAAGAATCAGAAACATTCTTATCGACGGAAGAAGCCGCCGAAGGGATTTTAGAAAAGTACGAGCTGCAAAAAGAAGGCATATGGGTATACAAAAAATAAGTTGGACTAAACTTACCTGTTGGAGCCATGATCAACAAATAACCAAATGATGAAATTTGGTGGCCCGAATGTGGGTCATAATTAAACTAATTATAGGAATAAGTTTTTTTTTTGTATATTAAACATTTATTTTTTTTTGCATGTATATACACAACGATTAGCCAGGGACGAACCACTAAACAAATTCGAGGGAACGCATTGTAATAGAAGGACCTAGCTCTGGACTGAGCAGGGGCTAGGAACTTCAAGCCAGAAGAAACAAATGGATATGGACCAAAAGTAGACAGACCACAGTACCATTTCCACCACACTCACAAAAGAGATGAGCAAGGATTACTTGGGCCGTGGGACCGCGCAAACCCACGACCCAGATGACCAAATCATCAGGAAGTACTTGGAGCCAGAACCAATCCACTTGAAAGACAGAATACAGCACAATGAACAAGAAAGAAGCATAACAAACCAGGAAGCGACACTTAGACCGTGGGATCGATATCACCCCACGATCTAGCTGACCTACCAAGAAGTATTTGGAACCAGAACAGACCCACAACACAGAAAACAGGACCGGACCAAAAGAGAAAAACCCGAGGAAAAACCCATGGCTGAAACGGTGAAGTTGATGAAATTTCTTAGTTGCAAGATATTTTTTTTTTTTTTTTTTTTTGTAGTAACCTGAATAATAATGCACCCTCACCCATCCCACCATAAAAAACTTTTGTTAATTTTGATTTTTAATTTTTTTTCTCTATACCTACGCGATATTTGGATTATATAATTGTTAAGCATCAGGGATATTTTATAATTAGGCTATTATTGTAAAGAAGGGATATTTTTAGGATAAGGATATTATTGTATTTTTTGACACTATTATGGTATTTGTATATAATTTGTTGTAAATGTCTCTTCCAAGCATTGGGGTCCAATGCTTCATGGAGGGGGGGCATATGTCAACTAGCTGCTTGGGAAAGAGGACCCGGTATTCAACCTTATTAATTTAATTGCCGATTCGATCGAATATTTATTGCAATTCAGCAATAAATTAATATAAATTGCGCTGCAAGCCGCAGCAAAGGCAGACTTAAACCAGTGCAAGTACCTCTCGTTGGAAAAGCCCCTCTGGAATTAAGTCTCCCCAGTGCAAGTACCTCTCGTTGGGAACGCCCCTCTGGGTATCTTCAGCCTTATCGTTGTCCAGTGCAATTACCTCTCGTTGGGAACGCCCCTCTGGACAAGGCATAAGGGTGACGATAAACTAATCTACAGTCCTCCAAGCAGCATTGACGTGTGGCTCCCTATAAGGACCCCAGTGTTCGAAGGGTCACGTATCTTATAGGATTAGCATACATGTAAGGTTATATTTGGGAAAATATATAGCATATATTTTTATATAACCCGAGCGAGTTTCTCTCCAGCAACCCCCAAAGCTACAAACCCCCCATGTCACCCCCGTAAAGCGGGTAGTTGTGACAATATAATCAAAAAATGTGGGTGAAAAAAAAATTTGATACTTATTATGGTTATTATGGCAGATTATTATTATTAATATAATATTTGCTTTTTGCCCAATGAATAATTTTTTCTGTTAATGTTTTAGAAATTAAAATTAGTATTTTTGAATCTGCACAAATATAGGTACCTAAGTTCATTTGTAATTATGTATTCGTAATCTTACAGCCTTAAAAATTAGATTTTTTTTAGTTTTGCACAAGTCATACCAAGGTGTCTATGCAAGGGGTAAACCACCTAGGAATTCTTTGCCAAAAATGTGGGGAATTTAGAGGAATTTGTGGGAATTTTAGAGGAATTTGTGCGGAATTTGAAGAAACTCATCGGAATTTATGAGAATTTGGGGTATTTATAGGGAATTTGAAGGAATTTATGGGGAATTTGAAAGAATTTGTGAGGAATTTAAAGGAAATTGTAGGGTCATGACATCACTGAGGTTCACATTCTTATTATAAGAAATAGTAATAAATGGAAATTCAAAAAAAAATCTGGTTTTGTGTTGGACGTTGGATATTCATTTTTATTAGAGAAATCCTCCCAAAATTACACTACATGATTTACAGGTCCAAATTTTAAAAATTCAAAAGAATAAGGAATACTGTTTTTGTAGGCTGATTTCCAAGATTTTTCATGTTGTTATTTTCCACTGAAAAAAAATCAAATTTTGGGAAAATGAGCTTCTCACCTTCCTCTTCACATGAAAAAAATTTTCCTTTCACTAGTTTTCCAGAAAAACTTTGAAATGTCTGAGACTGTATTTTCAACTAAGTAATTCAGTTTTTGTAGGTTGATTTCCAAGATTTTTCATGTTGCTGTTTTCTACTGGAAAAATTTGAAATTTTGGGAAATGAGCTTCTCATTTTTCTTTTTACATGCATAAAGTTTCAAAATTTTCCCTTCACTAGTTTTCCAGGAAAGCTTTGAAATGTGTGAGACTGTATTTTCAACTAATTCAGTTTTTGTAGGTTGATTTCCAAGATTTATCATGTTGTTATTTTCCACTGAAACAATTTGAAATTTTGGGAAAATGAGCTTCTCACCTTCCTCTTCACATGCAAAAAGTTTCAAAATTTTCCCTTCACTAGTTTTCCAGGAAAGCTTTGAAATGTGTGAGACTGTATTTTCAACTAATTCCGGTTTTGTAAGTTGATTTCCAAGATTTTTTATGTTGTTATTTTCCACTGAAAAAATTTGAAATTTAGAGAAAATGAGCTTCTCACCTTCCTCTTCACATGCAAACAGTTTCAAAATTTTCCCTTCACTAGTTTTCCAGGAAACTTTGAAATGTGTGAGACTGTATTTTCAACTAATTCAGTTTTTGTAGGTTGATTTCCAAGATTTTTCATATTACGGGAAAGTGTTCCACAATGAGACATGTTCGACAATGAGACATTCGAAATAACTTTTTGAACTGCCCGCCTATTCAGTTTAAAAAAATATGACCGTCGAACATAATTAATTGTGCATGTGCTCCTACAATTTTTCCGAAATTTAGCAAATTTTAAGCTTATTTAGGGACTACCATAGCTCAAATTGGCGTCATTTTTTTTTTACAGTCGATATTTCAATTGGTGATTAAATAAAATTCGTTGGTTTTTTGATAAATTTGAAATTCTGGAATTGTTTAGGCATGTCTGGGTTGGGATTCTGTATAAACTAGGGATGTTTAAAACAATCGATAAATTTTTGCCAACTTCTTGAAAAAATATAGAAAAAGTTCCACAATGATACACCTGGTTTTGTTCCACAATGAGACGATCTGACAACTGCTTTTTTACCCCGTAACGGAAGATATAAGTATGGTCGAAGAAAAAAACATCATGCTAATACTTTCCAAGCATTAAACGACTAGGAAAACTAATAGGCAACAGTCTCTAATACTTTTTGAAGTAAATTCAACCTCATTAAATGTGCGTTCATATTTTGAAGGGTTTTATTATATTTTTGATTTGTCGGATTAATACATTTCAAGTTGCTCTACTGTTTCTTTAAAAGAATGGTTATTTTTTTTTATAAATGTTTTTTTCAATATTTTTTGTAGTGTTTTTTCGTGTAAAAAGGACTTGTTTCACTGTGGAACATACTTGTTCCAAAATGAGACAAAAATCGCGTTTTGAAAAAATTGCCCTATTTATTTTTTGAATCAATATAATTATAATCTAATTGCGTTAAATTATGAGAAATATATCAATCTATGAGTATGCAACATCGAAATTACAAATTTCAATCATAACTTCTGGCTATTTACCGAAACGCAATTTTTGTCTCATTGTGGAACAATTGCCCCTACTGTTTTTCACTGGAAAAATTTGAAATTTTGGGAAAATGATCTTCTCACCTTCCTCTTTACATGCAAAAAGTTTCAAAATTTTCCCTTTTTTAGAAGAATTTGTGGGGTATATGGAGAAGTTCGTGGTGGGCTATTTGGAGGAATTTGTGATGGGTTATCTGAAGGAATTTGCAGTAATTTTGAGGAATTATGCGTAAAAAGTTCCCCTTCGAGGAATTGTTTGCACCAATTCTGGGATAGTGGTTTACCCCTTGTGTCTATGTATTATTTATTTGAAAATGTCTAATAAATCCTTTCAATCACTAGAAAAGGCAACACATTTTGTGCTTGAAACATTTTTCTCAAAATTTTTGAAGCATGGAATCACAACTTCAATTGGTCAATTAGCAAACCAGATGCCATGCCGCCATAATAATTCAGAGGACTAATATTTTCAGATATGAGATAATGTAGAGTTTCCAAACTTAGGCGAAAGGGAGCAGACCCTATATGATATTTGATAGATAGAGTGACTTTCCTTCTTATAGTTTTGAGAATATCAATATTGGGTCAAAAAATTAACAAGAACTTTGTGGCAGTCTACTGTGTGGAGAAGCCTCTGGTTCTTGAGACTTCTTGACATAATGGCGCGGGTTCCAATATGCATGCACATCAATAAATTACACTGATAGAAAATAGAATGTATGTAAAGTAAATAATACTGGAAATATAATAAAACGAAACATTCACATTTAAATAATATATAATATGAAACAAAATTACAAAAAATTTAAAAAAATAAATACAAAAGTGATATTAAAAATACTAAAGTAAAATACCTACCTACCTACTACTATTGAACTAATAAGACAATAAAAATAACGAAAGTAAAAAATAGTTAAGGTGCGTTGAAAGAGACTTACATTACAAAAGGGGCTTAAGGTATAAGTAGAACATCAAGTGCATGAATAAAAAATTCAGTATCACTCAGTTGGCCTCCGATTCAGCCGCTTCCTTTTCCTGGTACAGTCTTAACAAATCCATCGCGTCTTGGGCCTGACGTTTTTCACATAAAAACCGACCCGACGCTTCCTTTAGTTGATCAAGAAATATTTTGTCGGGGTAGGTCAGATCAGCCAAAGAATCTGGATCCATGTCGCTCAATAGTTCCAATTCCGGGCCGCCCAACAACGATAAATGGCACAAGTTTGTTTTTAAACGGCCTACCAAGCCGGCTAGCTCATCGCCCTTATTATTAGCGTCATCCACTTGATCTTTGCTCAGGTTACATGTAGGGTACGGGGGCACCCACTTGTGATTCGGCGCCAGAATCATTAGGCTCGTATTTGCATCTAAAGTAGCGAAATATTCTTCATCGTCTATTTCTGTACCGTCGGCTTCTAGGACCACAGTAAAATTGTTATCGTTTACAATGTCTAACTTTTCGCGAACTTTTGAGGTTAGGTCTTCTAGCGACAATGCAACAATCCCTTTACGTATCTCTCTTGTGCTGTTACAAATTTTGAATGGTCTTTGCACTTTTTGCGGGCTTTCGGCTTCCATTATTTTGTAACGGACGAACGTCGAAATTCGTTTATAGTTTGTTTACCCACTCGCTGACCCACCTCAATGCCACCGATCCGATCGCGCCCACAAACAAATAGCGAATCGACGATTCCCGAATATCCCTCGAAACTCGAATGCCGAACAAGGAACAATGATAACGTACGGCTAAAGCTTACGAGGCTACTGGTTAGAAATAGCGAGAAGAAAACGCTGTGTTGCCAGAATGTAGAATCGAAGTTTCCTAGATTGTTGGTGCAAACCTCGCAATAAACATGATTATTCTTTCAAAATTTCTAAATAATTATGTCAAAAATAAAACAAGTGAAACCCAGATAGATTGTATTATTAAAAATGATCAAGTAATAAATGATAAAATTGATATTGCAAACCATCTGAATGATCATTTTGCTAATGTTGGGGCTGATATTGTTGCTGACTTGGAGAATGAGAATGAGAATGAGATTACAGGTACTAGACCCAATGCTTTAGAAAGGCATGAGGAAATTGTTAGTGATAGTGTTATGAACATTGAGCCGACAAATGAAAGTGAGATCTGGGAAATCATACTGGATCTAAAGAAAAGCTCCAGCACCGGGCTATGACGAGGCTACAGTTAAGGATATTTTTAATCTTAATGAAAATTTGATAAAAATTTTAACAAAATTAATAAATTATGTCATTTCTAGGAATCTTTCCAAATGAATTGAAAATAAGTAAAATAAGCCCAATTTTTAAGACAGGCAGTACCTAAACAAAATATGGATAATTACAGACCAATATCGGTGCTGAGTATTTTTTCCAAGATCATGAAAAAACGAATGGTAGAATATATTGCAAACACAAACCAGCTAGATGAATTCCAGTATGGTTTCCTTAAAAACAGTAGCACTTTAAGTGCTATATGTAGACTTTACTAATCATGTTTCAAAGGCGCTAGATGACAAAATGATAGCTATTGTGGTAGGTATATATAGATCTGAAAAAGGCATTTGATGTGGTTAGTTTTGACATCTTAATAAAAAAATTGAAAAATTTGGGATTTGCAGGAAAAATACTTAACTTAATTAAATCATTTGTCGAGAGTAGAAATCAATTTGTTAGGCTAGATAATGCTTGAAGTGGTATAAAATCGAACTCTTATGGAGTGCCGCAAGACTCCGTTCTGGGGCTGTTGTACTCCCTGTATGTCTTGAGTTTGAGAAGTCCTAAACTTCGAGCACGCTATTTTACATTTGCAGACGATACTGCTCTAGTATATACAGGGTCGAACGAGAATGACTTGTGCAGGGAGGCCAACAGTGACCTCCGGACTTATATAGATTGGTTGTACTGCAATAAATTGAAAATAAATAAAAGCAAAACAAAATATATGGTATTTAAGCAGAAGAACAAACGAATAGAAAATGTAAATTTATATATCAATAATACACCTTTAGAGCAAGTAAGTAAAATTAAATATCTAGGATTAATTATTATAGATGATAAATTAAGTTGGACTGAAAATATAAACAAAATAAACGATAAAGTGTTACCTATGATCTCGATAATATTTAAATGTAGAAATTACTTAACAAAGAGAACTAGAGACCTCTGATCTACAATGCTTTTTTTTTGTCTCAATTTAGTTATTTACTTCCTATATGGAGAACTTGCAGCAAAACAAATTTTCAAAAGGTGCAAGTGTTACAAAATAGAGTGTTAAAGGTACTATATAAATATGACAGATGCCTATAGTTTATTGCAGCAACGCGAGATGTCAGTCCTGTCGCCCCTATAATGTGCCCTAACTTGATAGCAAAAAAAATAGAAATCTGCATTTGGTTAAATTGTGTGATGGGAAGTTTTTTTTCTACAAGCGTGCATTTTTTATCACTTTCCCGCACGCATCTTAGTTCCGAAAATGTCACTTTCCCGCATTAGTGCGCGATTTTGTTTTTCCCGCACTAGTGCGGGAAAGTGGCGTTCAGAAGAAGTGTCAGTTTTGTTAATTAATCAAACATTTTATCTATTTTGTCTGCCTACATTTTTGCTAGATATACTAATTTATGCGCTCATAAACTATTTTATGTCCGATTGACCAATAAAGTGCTATTTATAGAACAGTTTTGCGTCAATAAAGTAGCACTTTATTGTACTAGTAAAATAAAGTGCTACTTTATTTTACTAGTAAAATAAAGTGCTACTTTATTGCCTACCTGGACTACCTGGTAAGGTGAAACAGGTCCTGACAACCTGCCAAAGTGAAACAGGTATTGACAACCTGCCAAGGTGAAACAGGTATACCTACGCGAATTTTACTTTTTTCATTAAATTTTTTTAATTTTTAACAAAAACCAGTCAGAATCGTACATAAAATCATGTATATAACGCTTACATAAACAGGCTTTATTGACTCATTATTTAATAGCCTCGCTCGCAAGCTCGCTCGGCCATAAAATTATTCGTACAATAAAGCTTTACTTTATGTACTTGTTATATAAATAGCTATTAAATATTCCTATTTTCAATTTTAATCCATATTAATCTAATTTGTGAATATTTCAAAAATTTTATAATTTTTTTTGACATTGTTTGACTTTTTGGTTCCTTTGAGGCGGGGCAGTTTTTCTACCTTAGAAATTTTGTTTATTGTAACATCAAATCGATTTAATACATAATTTTTTTCAATCATTCTTGAAAGTAAACGTAAAAGCATAAAAATAAGTGATTTTGTAATTGAATTTCTTTTTTAATATATCGCTTTGAATTTACTTAGTTTTAGTTTTTATATTTGAACGCGCTCGTAGAAAAAATAATGTTCCTAACTCATGCGGAAATTGTCTTTCTCCCAACTGCTTGCCCGAACTCCGCTTCGCGTCGTTCGGGTCAACGGCAGTCGCGTGCGGGAAAGTATCACTTTCCGCACTTGTTAGCAAAATAACTATTCTTTTTTTGCAGAAATTCGAAGTATTATTCTGTTTTACATAAACAGGGCTGTAGTTTGGACCAACACAAATAATTTTGAACGTTTATCCCTCGGATTTATTTTTAAACAGTGTAGCTACAGGCGTATTTCCAACTATTCTTGCAGTAGCGAGAAAACTACAAGTTCAAAAAATTTGAAAAAAAATATATGTCGCGTAGAATTGCAATAGTAGTTCGTAATAAAAATAACGGGAAACTTCATCTCTTCGTTTTGGAATAAATGGTGAAAAACCACTTTTTTTTCAGTTTTTGCGATATAACTCAAAAATGGCGAGTCAAATTTGCTGCAAATTATGGATTAAAGTATATCAATAACCATAAAACATATATTTTTTTGGAATTTTTGAACACATGGTTCAGAAAATGGGGGTTGACTTTAAACCTTAACTCACACAAGTAAATTATACAAAGACCTTAATGCTTTTAACCTAAATTCTCTATTGCAAATTGAACAATGCAAGTTAATATTTAAAGTATTCAATTAACAACATAAGTCAAATACAACTTTAATAATGGCTAATCAAGTTCATAATTATGAGACCAGAATCATAAACAACATCTACCAAATAAACACAAGGACTAACTTGGGTGGTTGTAATCCTATAGTAAAAGAGATATCAAGACTTTGAGAAATTTTGGTTCCTTTGTGAAGAAATTGAAAAACTTTGCAATTAGTGTACAATTAAGCTAATTATTTATTATATTAAGCACATTGTTAGTATAAGTTTTTTCTCGAGGCCAGTGATTCAAGCACTGATTAGAGTTAATTCACTAAAATAATTGTTATTTATTGTAAAAAAAAAATAATAATAAAGATTTGTTTTCAAAAAAAAAAATATATATCAGCCCGCAAGCAAAAATTAGATATTTTTCTGTATGAAGTATTTATTTATTTATTTATTTATTCATCAACGAGAAATTCCCAAGTCTAAGAATAAAATGTTAAAAAAATTTCGAAAAAAAAAAAATCAAATACACAATTATATAAATGACAAACAGATTATAAAATACAAACTACATTTACACCAATCATAAAAACAACAATGGAACATCAAATCACTAAAATATGTAGGTTAGGTGCCTAATCTAGATCTATTGATTATTTAGCGCCGCCCTAAGGGAGTACAAGGAGGGGTGTTAAACAAGTCAATTCTCAATTCATTTGCATGAGACATCATTCTATTTATGGATGAGAATTGACCATAATTGGTGCGATGGTTTTCAATACTAAATGTATTCACAACTCTAGTGATCTAGGACGAGTATGAATTTGAACAAGTTGCAGGAGGTCACTACAATCCATATTGTTATTAACTATTTTATAAATAAATACTGTATCAAAATTAATTCTCTTTTCATTCAAGGACTTCATATTCAGCATGTTCAGTAGATGATCCTAAGTACATGTTTCAACATCAAGTTCCATTCTAAATCTAATGTGACACAAAAATTTGCGCTGCACTCTTCCCAGTCTATCTCTGTGACACTGATAGTATGGTGACCACACACAAGTATTATTCTCCAGTTGAGATCCAACTAAACACACATACAAAGTTTTGAGAGCAAATACGTTTTTGAAATCTTTGGTATGTCTTTTTACAAAGCCTAACATTTTCAGAGCTTTATTACGAATATAATCAATATGATCCACAAAAGTTAGCTTGTGGTCAAACACAACTCCCAGGTCCTTAATTGTAGTTACACCATCAAGAAGAATATTTTGTATACATATAATACGAATTAAGTTTTGGACTTGACTTTCTGCTAAATTGTATACATGTACATTTACCTATGTTGAGGTATATATTATTATTCACGCATCATTTCTCAAAACGTTGAAGGTCTTCCTGCAGGAGTAGGGGAGAGTGGGGCAACTTCGACATGCGAGGCAAGTTTGTCACCGCGCTTTACTAGGAATCGGTTGGATTCGGAAATTCCGAAACTGGCTTGAGGATGCATCGTACGTATCAGACATCAGTTAGTTGCTCCTTAAGTCTGGAGAAGGTAGCTACTCAATTTGTCGCATAAAACACAATTATCGAGTTTTTAAATTTCTGATCTAAGGATTGGCTATTACTTTAATAATACTTTCGTTCCGTTAGAGCGTTCTATTTCGCAAGTTAATTTTTACAGAGTGACTTTGACCCATCTTTTGTAGAAATATTTGATAATAGGCGGTAAAAAAG